ACGATTTTGAATGATGAAGAAAAAGGTAGACGATCGTAGAAAAGGACAGTGCTGTTCATTTTAACAGGTTAAGGTTAGAAAAGCTTGATTTTTCAACGATATTGGGAGGACGATTGTTTCGTTCGCCTCTATCTTTCGTGTTTATCTTTTGGAAAGAGAAGAAGAGGAGGAGAAGGAGGAGGAGGAGGAGGAGGAAGGAATTAAGGAAGGAATAACGATTTTTTAACGCGGGAGGAAGGTTCGGTTGGAGGGAATTCTTTTCTGGTTTGGCAAGCACGAGATCGAAGATAAAGAAAGTGGAGACATGATTAATGGAACTTAATAATTCTCTTCTCAACTTGTGGCGTTTACGGAAGTTTATCGTTACGTTTCTTCTTCTTCCTCTTCGTGCTGCGATGAAATTCGAATTTTCGAGCGATATTTTATATATTCATATTTTCGAAGAAATTTTAACCAGATTTTTAAGGAAAAAGAAATAATATTATAACTTCGTGTATTATATTATAACTTTCTGCAAAGATTATTAATTAATTCGATTTTTTATTATTTATTGTCATCTTGGAAGATTGGAAAAAGAGAAAAATGAATCGGTGAAAATTCTTCGAGAGTTGTAATTTGATATTTATCAGGGCGAAATATATCTTTTTCTAGCTTGAAAAGTGTGTACACAACATCCGTGGAATATGAAGCGTGGCCACGCGGATTTACAGGATTATTTTTTTTCCCTCGGGTATAATATGGAATCGTTGTTACTAATTAGATCTTATAAACGAAACGGCGTGTTCCAGATTTGCGTAGATATTATCTACGCCTATGCATCGCCTATGCGTTCACTTCGGTGTATCGAGGATAACAGTGCTATAAGTAATTTTGTCTTCTTCTTCTTCTTTTTCTTCTTGCGCATTCTTCGTTGCGCAAAGAACCTCAATGATAAATTCACGAGGGATACAGTTAAGTGTGATTAATGGGATTAAGGAGAAGGAATAAGAATACTCGCTCGTGTTTTCCTCAATTTCTTCATTATCTTGTTACATTTTACACGTAGGAGAGAAATTGAAGAGGAAAACAACAGGCGAATAATCTTTTTTTATATAATCGGAAAATAATCTTCGACTGAACTCTCTGATATGCGTTATTTGTACAAGCAGAGAATTTAAATCGAAATATAAAATTACTAGATATAAAATTACTATCTTCGAAACAATATTTTTTGGTAATATTTTTACGAAATGATTCTCGAAAGATAACACGGTGGTTCGATATTTTCTTAATGACAGAAAAGAGTTATTAAAGAGGAAAAATATTTAAAT